GTAAAGGTAATGTAATCATCAGCGTACCTTGAAAGGAAAGCAAAATGTATCTACAAAAACAAATCTCGGGTAAAATTACCTTAAAAGTATAAATATCAAGAACTGCTATGAGGTGGTACCCAGTACATAACACTGCCCACGGTCAGAAGTTCGGTTTTACCAGTCCCTCAAAGCACTACTTGAATGCATTTTTCAACCACCCTGACTACATGCAAAGCTCACAAGATAAACGTGACAAGCCACTTAAGCCTCATGCTTTTACTCCTGCAATCAGAAGAAATACTGGAAGTTACACAACTGTTTCTAAAAGACAAATAAGGAAGTTCAGAATCTAATCTGAAGTTTGGAGTAAGACATCTGTATTCATCAGATCAGTGTTTCAGAAAGAGTTGGGGCAGGAAACGACAGGCTCCTCACCACTGGATGGCAAAACTCTATATAATCACAGAGGACAAGTGGAAGGTAAACGTGAGACAGAAAAGAAGAAAGGAAAAGGCAAGGAAGGAACAGATTGTCCACAACAGATATGGCTGACATATTTTTAAGAACAGATGGCAACCGACAGTGATGTGATACAAGGCACTCAGTTCCCAGAGACTTGGCACTCCTCAAAACAGTGGAATAGCTTTTACAGTAACCTGACTCCAATGCATGTTCCTCCAAGGAAACAATAGGTGAGAAGATATTTTCACACACTGCACTGACGGGTTTGAGAACTGACAAGGCAGAAGGCTGAGAAGTTGTAAGGATTAATATGAGGCAGGAAAGCTTTCTGGCATTGCACAGCGAAGACCCTAAATGTGCAGGTCCTGGGGGACACACGGCAGCCACACAAATTACCTGCCAACACCAGTGACTGCTCAGTTCAGTCATGTTCATTAGAAAAGAAATATATTGTTCATAATAATAATAAAAAATACACACGCATATTCATACATATCTCAAGACATAATAGAGAAGAAAAAACCCGAGCCCTCTGGAGTGCTCAGGAGCTTAAGTATATTACAAGCAATTGGCTCCAAATTTAATCCAATGCTTTTAGACAGATGGAATTTAAGCAAGAAATTCTGGTGGTTTAGCTCTACCACTTCTGTTTGATTTAAAATAGAAACAATGCAAGAAAACCGGTGTTTATTTACTCAGCGAAAGACTGATTCTCACTTATTAACTTCAATGAACATAAAAATGACACACAGTGAGTTCAACTGTTTCTGGTCAAGACAAAAAAAAAAGCAACAAACACACACAAACAAAAAACAACAGATCCTTTTTCTCTTTTCTCTAAATAAAAAAGAGGGTGCAACATGACAAAGAACTGCTTTTCAGCTCTCAGTCATTTCCTAAAGGAATTATTGAGATTATTCTAACTAAAATGAAAATATTTCACTGCACTTGCACAAAAAAAGCTACTTTTGTCACAGGGCAGCTCAATGCCTCAGTGCATTTTGACTGTCAATGCTTAAAGTACTGTCCAGTGTCTTTTGCTGAAGAGATATGTAATGGGCAGAGTACCTGATTTTAAATGACTTTATCAGAATGCATAAGAATAAGGTAAGCCGGAAACACTAGTGCCTAATGCAAATATAGTTTTATTCTTTTTAAAATAGATGTATTTAATTTGAAAGCATATGCCTGTGTATCCACCCTACCTCATACATTTGAGTGACTCAGCACTTACCCACAAAAACAGCTGTCATTATTTTAAACCACAACATAATGAGCTATGTCCATTACCAATAAAATGCTTCCAAATAAAGCATCTTGGAAAAATCATCTGTATACTACAGGCTTCACAGACCTCAAGACAACAGGAAACATGTTCATTTGTGTTTTCTGCAGCCCCCCTTTTTTTTTTTTTTTTTTTTAAGCACACAAAATACAAAACTCTGATCAACTCAAGAATTAGGGAAATTTAATTCTCAACTACTGGAAGCTCCGCATGGCAAAACTCAGTCTTAGTAATGCAAAGAAACTGGTCATACATCAACTGCAAGAAAGGAAGTCTTTCCATAACTGAAATAGCCTGAAGAGAGGATCATTTACTTACACACATAGTAAGGAGGGAGCTACAAATGTCTTGGGATATAGGAGGCCCCATATCAGAGAGCTGATGGTCTGATGACAGGCTATTCATCTCATCTAAATGTACTACTACTCAGGAGGCAACATTCACTGCTTTTCACCCAACGCCTAACACGCAGAGAATCCATCAGCCCCACCCACATTTTCGTAATGCCATACTGCCACCACTGAAAATTGGATTTTTCGTTGAAAACCTGCGAAGCAGACCTTCAAGAGTACACGTGGTGACAAACACCAATGCCACACAAGGTGTCTTCCAGTCTGGGAGAGCAGAAGTCACGCAGGGGATGACCAGGGAGTATGTGCATGGCCCTGTGTGACCATGGGGCCCCGGCGGCAGCACCCAAGACACCCAGCTCAGGGCACCCGAGTGCCCGCCACTCTTCTGACTTCAGCTGAGGCCAGCTGGTCAGGCAAGCTGAGGGCTAAGCACACAGGGGAAGAAAAATAATATAGGGAATTTCTGCAGTGAATGCCACGCAGAAAGAAGACAAACTCCAATAAGGCTAGAACCGTGCAAGAGCAAGTCTGACCGGTCCCCTGAGATGCTCCCACTTCTACTATTTGGTATCTGACAGTTCTACTGCTTTTGCTGTTGATGAGTGGTTCTTGTAGGAAACAGCTTGCTCTGGCATGTTGGTTACATGCATATATTCTGCAATCCACTTGCCATTAAACTGTTGCACTTCTACACAGAGCTGCTTGGCTTGTCCAGAATAAGACATTGCATTTGCCTGCCACTTCAGTTCTCATGATCATCTGCTTTCTCACACAAACCAACATTCCCGCTTATATTGGGCTACATTTGCATCTCTGCATGTAAAAAAAAATAAAAATTATCTTGCATTAAGTCACACCTTGCCAACTAAACAGAATTCTGCAATTAGTTTAAATACTGTCAGCAAGTGGAATGAGTTTATGTCAGAGAAAGCAAAACACCACATATTGTGCATTAAAAGGATTCATATTTAGGGGTTTTGTATTGTTTGCCTGTGTGAACCAGACACTTCCAAGTGACCAACATTTACGAAGTAATTTGTTGTTGTTACTAGGGTAAAGATTTAGCACCAGATTTTCAACATAAAACCCAAGTGACTGAGCATCACCAAAACGTATTAAGATAAAAGAAGCATCAGGATAATAAAATATATTATAGTAAAGTAATTCCTTAAGAGTGAATTTCACAGCCCACAGTTAAAACAGTTTCTTTACAGGACAATTTCCTAAGGCATGCGAGTTTTACTTCAAGTGGCTCAAAAAGATGGATTTACCATCCAAAACCAAAGTCATGTTCGTGTCAGGCAAAACTCACTCACGTAATATAACATGATACCATCTTGGAGTGTATTATAGTCCTCTTGCCACCTACCACAAAGGTGTGTCTAACCTACATAAGGAAACTTTTGCAAAACAAAGATTGCATTAAATAGTTGTCTCAATTATTTTTTCAACAGCTGATGTTCAGAAGGCAGCCTTGTTTTTAGGCATAAGCATTTAACGCACATATGTGCTAAAGCAAACTTTAAAAGCAGCTGCCTCAGTCAGTTTTGGAGCTTCAGAGGAAACAATCAAGGACTACCACAGAGTAAAGAATTTGGAGTATTCCCAAATTCAAAGCAAGTAATGGAGTACACTACCACAGGATGTATCAGAAGAACTGGCCAAACCTGTACAGCTGCAATGATTCGTAGTTCTCACAAGCAGAAGAAAAATGTACAGGCTGCACCAGCTCAGCAGAACCAAGGGAAGGCTTTATTTTAAATACTATGTCCATCTACTCTAACCAATTTTTACAGAACAATGAGGCTGTCATTCCACGAGGAATAAAGAAATTGTAAAAGAGAAGCAAAGAACATAGCTCAAGATGACCTAGATATTTTATAGTCAAAGACTGTCCCAAAGACAGTGCCCATTAAGTGCAGGGTGGTTATGTTTCTTTATAAGGAAAGCAACAAGAGGAAAATAGTGAAGCGAGAAGGACATCAGAGCGATCACAGTGCTATATATTTTGATGGGAATTCATGCTTAGCCAGAAGTACCTGATGCAGTTAAAAGTAGTAAGACTGCTTTTGACTGACAGAAATTAGTTATCAATTGTCAGAAGCACTGAAGGAGCTGCTGTAGCTAAGGGTTCCTTTGTATTTGGTGTCCCTACTTGACACACTGCAAGTCACTACGGAACTCAAACATCAGTTATGGAACTGACAAAAGCTGTGGGGAAATAAAACAGTGCTGTTGATACAGCAATGACAATTTCAAGAACATGCCTGTTGATTCTAGCCGAAAAGGAATTTTCAGCAAGGAACACACATGAAAACAAACATGGATGCACAAATAAGATGCAGAGAAGGATAGGGATATACAAACTGTATTAGGACTGCTGTAAACCACTGACATCTAGAGATAGGCAAGAAAAATGCAGAATAAACCATAGCACAATACTTTCATATACAATAATTTCTAGTTTATACTTCACAATTCATATTTAATTCGCTTCAATTTTTTCCTTTAGATTTTCCCTTTTGTGATGCTTGTGATGCACAAGGACCATAAACCATTTATAGAGATTAACACAGCAATGGCAGACATCCATGTCATATGCTCAGATCATGTTTGACTGAAGCATTTACATCCTAGATTATACTGTAGATTCTCTAATCTTTGATTCTATATTACATATTCAGGTTTAGCCACTGCTCTCCACGTGGTTCAGATCTCTAAGGCTAATCAGCGCCATACAATTGGATCTAGTAGTTGGTATTCAGCCTGACAGCCAGTTAGCAAATGAAGTAGTCCACAATTTAGTAAACTCCTGTAAATCAGTCTTAATGGCAATCCCCTCCATGGGCCATCTACATGCTGCTCTGATATAATCACAGATCCCAGGAAAGACAGAATTAGATTGTGCAGCTTCTTACCTGCAGCTCCTTTGAGACTCTCTCTAAGTGGTTAGTTATCTTTTTTATTAGGTCACTATACATCTGTTCCGAATGCTGCTGGCATACACACTTATACACACAACTGCAGAAACAAATATAGGAACAAACAATGAACTTACAACAGTTTGCAATGAAGGGTAACAGACTTCAAAATATTTTGTTCAAGTCTCAATTTAGAGGATAATAGAGTTAACTGAACGATTGCTGAACTTTTAAATACAGTCCTAAGCTTGGAATGAGCTCCAGCAGACCCTTAAGTCTCCCTTGGAGGCCCCAGTGTGTCCATCCCATTCCCCCTCCCCAACCTCACTTTAACTTATGAGTTCTCTTAACAGTGCACTTTAGAACAGCCAGGATAATTCTGTCAACAGCACAGTCCTAATTCTGGCTTTTGTCTCTCCTATGTGAATGAAGTCTCCATTAAAATAAGCGGGCTTAATGATTATATGCATATTCTAGGGCAAAACCCTTATTAAAAGAAGGGCAACACTGACATGCAGTCATAGAAGTTGCACCAAAACCATGCTAACGTTTCAGAACGAAACAGCAAAAGTTCTAAAATTAGAAACCCAAGCATGTTACTCCATCCTTTGTTACCTAAATTCTACGAAAACCCTACATTTTCATAATAAACAAAGATGCAGAGACAGAGCAACAAAACTTTAATTCTACTTCCCATGGCTTGGCTGGGTTAACTCTGGTCTTCAGTGTTACCTTTGCTTTTTAAGAACACTTTATTGCTCTCATAGTCAATAACACATATCTGAAAAATAAGACTATGTATTGAAAACAAATTTACAACAGTTGTAAAACAAATATATATATTACTTTCAGCAAGAAGTTACATTAAGGTAGTCATCATCGTCAGGACTAACACCAACATTATCTGTACCAAACAGCTTTTTCTCTCGAGTGCTTTCATTCTTTGAAGTCAGCATTTTGAAAGCTAGCTGCCAAAAATCAGGAGGCACAGGGAAGACTTCACCTGATATCCTGGGCAAGCCAAACCTCCTCCCCATGCCTGTTCTGCTTCCCTCTCTCTCCATCCCTCTGTATGGAGTAATGTGACAACGAGCAATTTAGGCCAGAGACCACCCCTTAGGACATGCACAAAAAACCTATTTCCAGCAAGGTCCAGATACCAGACTTGAATTCTACAGGTTTTTAATAGCACCGAAAGCCTAAAGCTATGGTACAACAACACTGTCTCTCTGTAGGGGAATTATGACATTCCGATTCTCTGCTGAGAAGGTGGTACAATGACAAACTGCAAAGATGGGATTAAAACAACTATAGACTATGGGCTATTGGGCTTCTTCTGGAGGAAGTTTTTTACCAGTGAATTATCACTAATTTTTAGAAGTTTGTATTTATTCCCTTTGACAACTTCAAAAGCCTCAAAAATACAGCATTCACCCCTATGCAAAGCCTCCTCATTTGGCAAACCATGCTATTTCTTAAAAACCAAAAGACACCCCACACCTCTCCTACTATTATATTTTAAAAATAATTCAGTATCTGCAGTTTGATATTATTTAAATAAAACAGTCAAAGTCATCCTGTTTCTTTCACATGAATTCTACCAATAGCAGATCCTATTTTGGAACAAGCAAGTGCAAAAGACATTTTGGTATGATGCAGTAACAGCAAAAATACCGAAGACAGAAACACTGATAAGAAAAGGCAGACTGATTTTTGTTACCTCTTACAAACCAGCCAGCTAGGTAACAAAGCAAATGGCCAACATTTGTTTGCTCCGTAACTAACCAGTATATAGCCACTTCCACAAGTTGACCACTTGCAACGATGTAACTAAACTGAATTTTAAAGTACACCTCTGCTTAGCCTTACATACAATATTGCTATACCTACTTCTGCAACACTTTCTGTCCTCAAACACCAGTCTTTGTAAGGACATGCAGAGTGTGTTTACACTTTATTTGAACACTTCTATTTAGGGGTTCCTTCCCCATTTTCAGATCCTGTTTTCAGTTCCGGACTGTGGGCTGATTCTGTGAATCACCCTTGCCCTGCTACTACCCAAAGGAAGTCACCAGCTTGTTAGACCTTTAGCATAACCAAGCACCTTAGGAAAAGGAAGACTCAAGCAGGACATTAGAAGGTAAGCATTTAGTGCAAGGGATGAAGATCTGAGATCTGTAAGTTGTCTTGAAGAACAGCAATCTAACTGCATGGTACCTGGGAGGCAGCTGTAACGCTTGCCAGAAGTACAACTTCGCTGTTCACGTTTTCCTCATCTCAAAGTTTCCTTCACATCTGTCAATATATTTAACCCTTGTAATAGGAAGTGACTATGCACAGGCAGGCTTTGGACTCAAAGATGAAAACAGTCACTAATCACACTTTGATACCTTATGGGTAAACTGATCCGTAGTAAGTATCTGCATACACACCTTTGAAGTTATCTCCTAGCTTTCACTGCTGTGGAGTAGACACCTACAGTTATCACTGATCATGTCAAATACAGTAGTTTGAGTATCTAATAATGTATTTTGAGTTTGCTTTATGGAAACCTTGATTCCTTTAGTCAGCACAAAGACGATCAAAAAGACCACTGTATTTTCAGCTCAGTTTCACTGTAAAAAAATATAAAAGATAGGTAGCTGTTTGAACCACTTCAAAAACCACCCCATTTTCAGACTAAAGAACTAGCCTAGGGAAGCAGAGAGGATCTAAACCTCAAGTCTGCTGCAGACTTTCTGTAACACTCCAAGCAAGCATCATCATTAAATTCAACAAAAAAGCAGTTTTTCTTCCATCCTCAATCTATGTTGTCTAGATCATAAGTCAAGCAAAGGGACACCCTCTAAAATAAAATTTAAAAAAAAAACATAAAAAACCCTCCTGGTTGGAAGAGGCTGTGTCAGAGTAATTACATCCACAGACATAATTTTTAAAAGAAAATTTTAAAAACTGACACAGTAGCTTTATCAGTAACACTGAACTACAGCCAATCTTTTGTTTTGGCAAAATACATGCAACAGACATCTGTGCATCATTACAATACTGCATCAAGAGTCACCCTGATGTCTAAGGGTTATCTATGAGAAACTTAAACCCCATTATTCCTTTAAGAAATAAAACTTCTGAGCAGTAAAAAGATGACAAAGATATACTGCAGTTATCTGAAACCCATAACTAGGTACAGGTCTACTCTAGGTATTAAAGCATTAACTTTGCACACCTACTCTTTATCAGAGATGACTACGGAGAGATGTTGGCTTAACTCTTACTGACAGTTGTTTGCACATTGGGGATTTCAAGCTAGGAAAAGAATTTTGATTACTTACACTAAAGCTGCAAAATGTCTCTCAGTTCAAATTTACCACCTCAGTTACTGAGACACATGCTGATGTCTGAGTCAGCAGTACCAAAAGTTTGGAGAGGAAAGAGGAAAATTATTAAAGATTTTAACTGGAGTTAAGAGGGAAGACTAAACACCTGCCCTTCTTGGATATGATTCCCTAATCCAAAGTTTCAAACTGGAGAGACGAAGCGGGCAGGAGACAACAGAGCTGAAAGCCTCTAAACATGGCAATCAGTGACTGAGCTGCCAGCATTATTTCATCGAGTGCAACACTATGGTAAAGAAAATCAAGACAGCAGCGCTACTAGTTGTGTTGCTGGCAAGGGCCAGTAGTTTTAATGGCGTCTTGGCCAGCAAATGCAGCAGCAGCTACCCAGTTTCCAGCCTATTTACCAACGTCCTGGATACCTGTCACCTACAGAACAAAAATCTCCATTTTAGTCAATCTCTTAAGAAACTGCCAGGTCTCTAAAGCACTTAGCATTTTGGTTTGGAGCAGTAGCGTGGTTTTGAAGCAAATCCCCCACTATCCCCACCACTGTGCACTAGCTTAGTCTACAAGGCAGTTCTGGTGTGTGACTAGATCCCTTTTAAAGCAAAGTAAACTGCAGCTCCAGGCCAGGTACAAATCAAATGTTCTCCAGACAAGAATGGAGATGTAAAGGACTGAACCTTGTGTCAGTCTTTCAGACAGCCTCTAACTACACATGCAGTGAGATGGCTGGGCAAGGGGAGAATCAGACCAAATCTACCTGATGCAAAACACAAATGACAGTTTATATGGACAGACCCTGGCACCAGTTGCTTCTATTTACTTCCGCACCTCTACTGCGCCAAATTGATTCCTATTAGACATGACAAAGAAGCCTTTTGAAACATTAACTCAAACACCTATCATGCCAGTCTCTTCTTCCCCTTTGAGGAAAGGGATGTTGAGACTTTAATACATTTCTTAATATATTACATTAAGCAACTGCGGTGGAGCTTACTTAAATGTTAATGTTTTCAGCACTTATGCATTTTAATTCTCTAGCATTTATTCCTGTTAACATGGGATGTCAAGATCTGTATCTTACTCACTCATTCCAACCATTTAAACAATATTGTTACTTCCATAACCTTCCCACTCTCCTCCTCATAAATACAAAATATAATATATGCACAGGCTGCAAGATAAAACAAACATTTAACTTAAAAGAAAAAAAAAAGTAACATAAAAAGATTTCCTTACCTGTATATTTGTTCGTAGGAGATAGGGATGTAGTCACCAGGACTCTGAGTTAAAAGCTGATCTATGGCACTGTCCAACTTTGGCCAATATGTGCTCTTATAGTCTTCAATTGTTATAACATTCATCACTACAAGGAAGAGACAAAACTACATTTACTAATCTTAGCTAAAAGATTAGAAGCAAGTGAATGCTCTGCAATTTCAGATCACACCAATCAGCTGGCCAAAACCACTGGGAACAGTTCACTTTCGCTAAGATAACCTTATCTAAAACTAAAGCCCAGACTTGAATTTGTACCTTTTTATTTACAGAAAAGAAAATAAAATCAGAAAACCTGCCAAATCAGTGCTTGCATATTTCTTAGGGTCCCAAGTAGCAGGGAAAAACAAAGTCCTGGGAGTTCTAGCATGACAATGTAATAATAATAATTAAAAAAAAAGTGTAGTTCAGTAGTTAGTTCAGATTAATAAATTACACAACTTTGTGGGAGTCCAGAATCAACAGTTAACACTGGGTCCTTACATACAGGAGAACAAGCTTTGGCCAAGACTGGTAGTTTTTGGCATAGTCCTTCCCAGCAGATATATTAATTTTACAAGTCTCAGGTGGGACCAGAAGCTTCCTTGGCCTAAAAAGTGATGCAATTCCCTCTGCCTTCAATTGCAGTTAGGCTCCCAGGCAACTTTTTTGGATATGTATTACAGCTCCCCCTCTAGCAGACACAATAATACTCCTTTTCCAGATAAGAATCAACACAGGGAAGAATAGGAGGCATTTAAATTAGCGTTCCCGTTCCCCATCACTCCCTAATTTTCTCCCTGAGCTTCCCAAGGGCACCTTCTTGCACAAGCCCCTCAGTGTGTCTTCACAGACACAGAAGAGTTTTAATCTCTCTCTTTTCAGGGAGGATTTCTGAACCAACCACACATGGCTCAGCTCCAGCAGCAGCCACAGGAGAAGGGTTAGCACCTTCCCTTCAGAGATGTACTCACAGGACTGCCTTGCTGGCTTGTCACACCACCATAGCTTCACAGCACCCACTCAAAACAAAGCCCTCAGTAAATAACAGCACGGGGTATACTTCACATCAAAACTATCCAGTCCAGGAAATCGAAAGTAATTTCTTCATTTGAACTCCACATGTGGGTCTGGGCTATATAGAACAGAGAATAAAGATAGTTCCCACCCCAAACAATCCAGTTTAGACACTGCACTGAAAAGAAATATTTTGAATAGGGCTGCATTTTAAATACGTGCGTAAATGTAGATTCACTGCTGGGTTTGAGGAGCAAGGTTTCTGAAATGTTATTTTCACAAAGGGCTGAAAGGAGCTGGGTAAGTCACTTTTGGCAGCATTACGAAGAACAATTCTAGGGAAATACAGGCAAAACAGTTATCATGAGAAAAAGAAGAGTATAAAGAAAATGTGGAATAAGAGAGGTGTGAGACAAGAAATGTTTGGACACTATCTGTAAGAGCAGGTATTACAGATTCCTGTTGTGTGTCTTCTTAGGGTATTTCAGCCAGAAACCTTGCTTAGTGAAGAATGTTAGTGCAGTACTCCTAGCTCCCTCTTCCCCCACCTAGTCATTGGTTCACTTTTGCTTCATACCTGTTACAGAAATGGATCTAGTTAACACAGTATGTGTCTGATTAGTGAACAGGTCACCACCACCACCAAATGCTGCAGGATGCTGTCCCAACACTCCAGCCTGCTATCTAAAAGTATGACACCATTCACTAACAGGTTGATAAAGGTTACGAGTCCGGGTACGCAACTACCAGGACATAAGTTAACATGTCCAGCAAGTCACCTCCACAATGTAAAAGCATCCGTGCAGTCAGGAACAGCACAGCACCTGCCTGACAGTAAAATCACCCCTTATTCATCTGTCTTGCAATGACTTGAGTTCTTGTGTCTTACAGAGCTCAGGCTCTGGGCAGATGTTCTCAGGACCAGCTTCCATGTAGTAGCTTTACTATTCATACTCAGCAGCAAATCTTAACATTTGTATTTCACTTTGTTACCCCGAAAGAGGTGGGTCTCCACAGAAGCGCTCTTTTCCACACAAAACATTAAACTGAAGTCAGCATAAATATTAGACCAAGTCTTGACTTAAGATTTCAATGTATAATCACACCCACATCTGGTTTAACATATTAAATGAGCTCTATTCATTTGAAAGAAAATAGTCAAGTAAGAATTGAAAAAAACTATTTTACAGTGTTTAACAGGCTGTTGAGATGTCAATTATTTTTTTATTTATTTTTTTTTTACAATGTAGAAGATGAAAGCAGCAGCAGACAAGAAGGCCTGCCCATTAGAAGTGCTGCACAGGTAAAATATGACAAACAGCCCCAAGAGGCTTGCATAGGAAACACTGGTAAGTTCAAAGTAACATTCTAGAAAAGCTTCATTTTTATTCAGAAGACTCCTACAAGTACTATTTCATTTGATTTCCACACTTCAGTTCTGAAACTAAGCCAACCATAATATTTATATAGTTAAAAGTCCAAAGACTACACACTGAACAATCACTATTTTTATTCTTCTAATCCAGAAAACAAATTACTTTAAAATTTTAGTAACTGCCAAAAATTACTAACGTCCTTTTTTTCTGGCAGTGCTTAAACACATACAAAAAAAAAAGCGAAGGGTGACTTAAAGTTGCGTCCTCCAATTACAAACTCTGCAAGAACAAACTCAAGACCAGAAAGGAAAGAAATCACACAAATCCTTAGAAAGAAAAGACAGACTGCCCTTTCAGAAACATCTTTAACTTTTTAATTTTCTATCTTTTTAGGATGTCATTCTTAAATGTTAATCCCTACATTAGGTATTCAAGATTTAAAAGGATTTGTCCAACAGCCTCCATTACATTCCTCCCAAGGAAAGGATGATACTAAAAGATGACTTTCGTTTCATTGAGATTTATTAAGTTTCTGAGAAGTGACACAGACTTTTTGTAACAAAGCATGCTAGAATGCATGATTTTATCCAACTACAGCGAGTTGGGGGTGGGGTTGGGAGAGAAATCAGTCTGATCGGATAGAAAGGAAGCCAGTATCTTCCTGCTTTTCCATATAAAGAAAAGTTCAAAAGAAAAACTGTTTAAGTCAAATGCAGCAGTGAAACCATTTAAGTGAAAAAGAATATGCATGAGCTTCACTTCATAACCTAGATATTTCAGTACCATAGCCATAATTGAAACATAGCCTGCTCCAAGCTACCAAATTCTTTGATATCAACTTCAATCAAAAGAATGGCAAAAAACACTAAGACTTTAAAAAAACAAAAGCAAAAAGTCTAAGAGGAAGTATACGTCCCCCATGAAATTGATAAGAAAAACTTACAAACACACATAGCTTAAAAAAGATGCTGTAACAGTAATACATAGAGGACATGAAGAATAGAATAATAATTTAAAAAAAAAAAATCATTGATAATGTTGGTTTTGTTATTTAGATGAGACAAGTTAACGTGAAAAGCTACTCAAAACGCTTACTACGTTCACATATAAAAACCATCCTTCTTTTAAAACCATAGCTATAAAAGCAGGGGACAGAACAGGACAGGTAAGCCAACCTACTGTCAAGTAAGCAGACATCAGTCTGACAATTATCTGTCATTTATTCTGACAATAAAAATCAAAGAAGGCAGCTAGGCATCCTTCAGAAGCTTTACTTCATCTCAAAGTGACATATATGAAGCTTTACTGCTTAATTAGCAATGCACCCCACAATCCTAAAATATTTTGTCAAAGTGTACAGACTCTTCAAGCAGATGTCTGAGACTAACCTACAGACTTGTAGCTATTGCTGTGGCTCTACGCTTTCCTTTTTCTCAGCTATCATGTGCGTGTTTACACAATAGATTTTGCTGTATCCCCTGCCTGACACATCCTAGCATAAATTAGCACGTTTATGAGTCTGCCCTGTAGTTGCTTTCAATTCTATTCTATTTTTGTTACATGTTTCTCAGTCTGCATTAAGACTGGTTAGTAAAAGTAATGTTAAACTTTTTCTTCATCAGACAATTTGCCTACGCAGCAAAGCACATACACTGCACTGAACTACATTATGCAACAGGGTAGTCAACAGATTTAATGGATATTCCAACGCTCACAGCTACATGTGCCCATCCTAAATGGGACTGGGATCAACTACACTTATAACAATCCTTGCCTGAAAAGGATGAAAAAACCAAGACACTGCAATTACTAGTACAGAAGAGTTTTGCTTAAAGTATTAAATGCTCTTACTCTTATTTTCTCCCTTACAGCCTTTAAAAATATCTTTCATAACACTACTACTTTATAAATCTGTACCTATGACTGAAGCTGATCAACTGTAAATAAAGATTTAGTTATAAGTTTACCACACCATGGAAAATTTTCTTAAGTTGCTTTAATCAGTAGAAAAGCTATTAACTGAACTATGCATTATTATATCTGATTTTAGTTCTTAGTCTCACCAAAATCTCAAGGAAGGAGAATTGGATTTGGCCCCTTCAAAAGATTTTATAGGGTCACCATCTAACCTTCTTCCTCCATTATTCTGCCAGCTGAATTAGACCAAAAAAGGCCCACCAAACAGCTTTAGTCTGCAACTACGAACATGAACAAAACCAACACGTTGCAAAAAATTATGTATTGGAACACAGGCACTGTATTTTTTGTTTTGGAGGAAAGAATCAGGAGGGAGAGACCTATCTGAACGTCAGAGGCACTCCAATTCATCATAGGATTGTTGGAAACTACACGTCACCAACATTTTTGCAGGTCACCTGTAGGATAACCTGTCTAAGGCTAAGCCTCTGCATCATGAAGCAAGCAAGGCATGAGTCCTTGCTCATTCAACTGCAAGAAGTTCTTCATGCAGCAGAGAACAGACAACTTTCCTATCAAGCTTAAGACAGACTATCAGCTTCTCGGCACATTCTGCCATTGCTAAGACAGAGCATGCAGAAGGGGGTCTAGCACACACTGTCTGCTTCTTCGTTGTACGTTTACACTGAAAGTGACCTTTCTTCCTCTATCTATACCTGAAAATTAAACAGAGGCAATTAAGAGATCCTCTGCCAGAGCCAGGATTAGAACAGGGAGGATCCCAACTCAGCTCCTGTACTTTTCTCAGTGCACACTACTTCACTGGACTTGTTCTGTTCATATACACATACCATCAAAACTATCCACAACACAACAGTGTAGAAAAGTTCTAATTAGGTTAACTCAGAGAATTCTGTATTTTACAGGAATTTTCATTTTCTTCAAAACAATACTTAACATCAGTAAGACAGACATTGGGTTGAGATACCAATGCTGGAAAAGTGAAAACAAGAACTCAAAAACCACACCCTAAGCAAAACAATGCACAGCCTCTTCTCCCCCTCAGATATAAATTGCAGATTAGCTGGAAAGTCACCTTCCCATTTGGTGAAGATCCAGCTTGAAAACCATTTTCATTCTGAAACAGAAGGAAAAACTAAGACTCTAAACTTCTCAGTTAGGAATTCAAGAGCTGAGTTTAGCAAGGCTGAACGACATTTCATTTCAACTGACTCAAGTGCTTACAAGCCACCCCAAGGTACCTGGAGCCCTGACAAGCAAGGCAGGCAGCTGACAAGCAAGGCAGGCAGAGAGCCAGAAAGCTCATGGAGTCTGGGAGCCTCAACTTCAAAGCTGCTAGCCTTGGCAATGTGCCTAGAGCCATGAAATCCAAGGCTGCCAGAGAAGGAGGGATCCAGAAGCCTGAACTTCCAAGCTTCTCATCAGCTCAGGAGCTGAGCTACTGAGGAGCTGGACAGGTGAGCTGGCATTGGGGAAAGGGGGGAAAACAAAGAAAAAAAGGTGCGTTTCCCATCAAAATTTCATCATGGCAGTTACACGGTTACACTTCGAGGAATACTTTTAACTAGCCAAATCCAAGTTTTCTGCAAGCATTAGAGAAAAGGGCATATTTTGCCCAGAGGCGTGACTTCTGGAAATAAAAGCAGAATTGAAATGAACAGCAAAAGGTCTTCCCCTCCCTCAACCTTAGCTCAGCAAAACAACAGCAAAATTGGCCATTTCTGTTAAAAGCTATATGCAGATGTTTTGGAGGGGTAAATTTGCCCTCAGTCGTTCTCGTCAGGCCTTTGCAGGCCTACGTCCCTTCCAAGACCGCAGACCCCTTCCAGGGGCTCTGCACACATTGCCATCCGCCGTCAGCAACAACAAATAGGTTTCAGGCCCACCTTTGGGTTTTTCAGGCAGAAAGAAAAAGTCTTTAGGAAAACACGGCCTGAGCTAAGAGCTTCAGGAAAAGCAACAGTGCCTCCGTACAGCTGAACACCCTGCCTACACCCGCTCTCCCAGTTCAACAGCCAGATCTACCACGTCACCTTGCCGTGACAGGAAAGCAGCAGACAGTTGGGGTGTGAACAGGAAAGGCTATTTTCTCCTTCCCAGGCGCCTTCACCCCTTTGATTTCGCTTCGAGAAGCCTCTCGGGCCAAGACCAACGTCAGGGACCGGCCGTAGGGCCGACCTGAGCCCAGCCACGGGAGAAGCGGGCGGGGAGGGAGGGAGGGAGGGAGGGTCTGACACCGGGGTCCCCCCCGTGCGGCCGAGGCCGAGGGCAGGGCGGTCACTCACGGAACTTGGAGGTCGAGGCGTTGATGTTGATGGCGGCGGCGATGGCTCCGGCTCCCCCCTTGCCCGCGGCGGCGGCCCCCGGCTCGCAGCCTCGCAGCACGCCGTTGGCCTCGGCCACCGCGGGGAGCTC